GTCCTTCCCCCCCCCCCGCCGTCGGATCCTTCTTCGCGTCGCCCCCGGCAACCGGAGGGCCAGGGGCCTCGTGTGTTGTCGAAGGCATGAACCCACCCTCGACGGGAGGGGCGGCGGCGGCGGTAGCGATGCTGCTGGAAAACGCGGGGATGAGGAACTGCTGTCCCCCCCCTGCTATCGAAGCTTCTCCACCGTCTACCGCGGCGGTGCTCATGACTGCTGCTGCTGCAACATCATCAGCCACGCCCTGCTGTTGGCCGCCGCCGCCGCCGCCGTTGCTGCTGCCGCTGCCACAGCTGTTGCTTGCGATGGCAGGCTGCTGCTGCTGCTGCTGCTGCTGGTCTTGTAGGGCTACGACGGTCGTCGTCGCTGGGACCTCGGAGGGGGGGGATAGCAGGGCCTTCGTCCCCTCCCTCGCCGCCCACATGCAACTGATGATCGACACCGCGAACCCGCAAGCGCACACCCCGCCAAGCAGGAGCCAGAACATGCCCCATTCAGAGGGGATCGGCATACTTTTTCCTCCCGTGTGCGCGCGAGGCACCTCCTGTCGTTTTTCTCTGCTGCTGCTGTCTTTGCTGTAACCAAGATCCTGTTCAAGCGGGTTTCAATTTCGATGAGGCGGGAAAGAGGCCGGGAGAACGGTGTCGGCTACGTGCTGCGAAGCCAGTTGGGTGAACCCACCGAATGATGGGAGTCAGAGGAACGAGCTTTGGGCACTGCTTCCCTTGATATGGCCGCCCTCCATCGGGTAGTCAGTCGATGCGCTAGTTAGGGAAGACTGCTGTATTCTACACACCCGGTACAGATTAGTAAATTTAGCTCGCTTGTTCGGTTGGGGTTCGCTGGGCTGTTCGAGTGCTACCCACGTCACCTATACTGTGCATATGAGCTGTTGCTTGGGAAACCTCGCGACTGGCACCGAGCTATGAGCTGGCCCTGATGCCTGCTTTTGTTTCCATCTAATTGCATCGCTTTGACGACACCGTACAGCCCGCACGAGCCCACTCCAGAGGCCATGTAGACGTTCCCGCTAAGAAATCTTGGGCCGCCGGACGCACTATACCCATGTAGATGTTCCCGATAAGGAAATTGGGATCTGGTCCCAGCGACGTGTTGAGACCAAGGGGGCTTGTTGGATTGGGTCGTAAATTAACAATCGTCGGCGGGCGTTACCAGGTGTTACGGCGTTCTATGCACCTGCATACAAACTTGCAGGGTATTTACAACAGTGCCGAGTGGGTGGGGACAGAGAGTAGTAGTTGGCGCGCTGCGTCGATGGCCAAAGCGTAGCGTCACGCCTGTTCGGCGGTCCCGCTAAAAAATGTGCCGCACGAACCTCCCTACATTCGTTGCTCCTTGGGCGACGAAAGTCTGTGGGGTGGAGGTGACTCGCATGCTAAATCAAACGATTCTTCTTTGAAACTATTACCCGACGTGCTCATGTTTGTGTTGTCATTTCGGGTAAATATGCAAGACTAACTGCTGTTGTACCAATTCGCCGTCCCCAATTTCCTCGACAAGCAAAAATCCGTGGCAGCGCTCCAAGGTGATTCCATTTCACCCGTGGGTCAAAGCTATGTAAAGTTTTGTAGCTGGCTGTGAATGTATAGCGCGAGGGTTGGGGGGCATGCGTCGTGCTTTCCCGCCGGCTGGATCGCTGTCTCAAAATATGCCATTCTCCACACAACCACCGCCGTTGTGTTCACGCCGGGCCAAAAGCCCTCGTGTACATACCACCAGCTGGAGACTACGAGGCTATACTCAACCGTTTGGGTAACGAACAACTTTTCTGCAGAAGGAGAGACAACTAAAAACACCAGTTCAACGGAGGCGTGCAGTGTGTGAGTTGCGCACCAAACGAGACCGTGCCACAGCAGATCTTCCGCCTTCCTCGACACTTGTGTTGGGAGAAGATCAATGAGGGAGCTCTCGGCTGTGAGCCACCGAGCACGCCAACTTAGGTACACACTCCAAGGACAGCACTTGTAATATTTGTTGCACTGCAACAAGCAGCCTGCCACATTTAGTACACGCGCGGAAGAAGCACGCGCACCGGCCAGCAGCAGGTATAGGTCCACGCCATAACGAATCAAGACAGGGACTCACCGCCTGAGAAACGGTCCGCCTAGCCCGTCAGCGCTGCCGGCCTGCTGGGAAAGCTGCGTGCAAGGTTGTGAACCAGGAGAGCTGGCTCTCATTTCATAAAAGCTGCAGGGGTGGAGAGAGGGGAGCACATCGACTAACAAGTTACGCCGCATTTCGGATGAAACCGTCGCCGTTTTCATAAAGTTTGGAAGCCGATGAAAGATGGCGGGACCGCACACAAGCGCGTACAGCAATGTACACATCTCCAGCTTCTCTAAAAACAATGTGCAACCCTGTTTATTTTGCTTGAACTCACGGTCTCTTGAACACCGTGATCCACGCAGGCGTGGACTGGTGGGTGCTGTGTGTGAGCTACACAGCGGTTGCTGAATAGCGAGAAGAGTCGATCGACCGAAGCACCGCGCCGCGAGTCCCGCCGTGCCCTCCTACGAAAGGATGCCCAATCGTTCTCATTCTCCAAGTAGCAGCACCAGCAGTCGCAGCAGCAGAGGGAGCAAGCGAAGATGGCGCTGGAGGGATGCTTACAGTAGTGGCGCGCGTAGTAACCCGCTTCGGAGGCTCGACCTCATGATCGCGCTGTCGGTGATGGCGTGCTGCTGCTGCTACAGCGACGTCAAGCCCGTCGGCCCAACAACGGTGACGGCTTTCCGGGCGAGCCCGCCGCCGCGAACGTCATCCAAGAAGCGCTTCGACAAGAGTCGCCTCAATTCTCAGCAGGTACAGTACAGCGTGCGATGGTGCTGTAGGATCCCCTATCGTATCTTGACCTTGATGATTGCCATCATCATGACGCGCGTCGGATCATTTTTTTTCGTATGCATACCACATGTCATTCTTCGGCCTCACAATAGTCTAGACTAGTCTACTGCTGTGTCTAGACTAGACTACTGCTGTATCAAGAGCAGCGGAGCAGCAAGGCATACCACTACTGCTGTCCACATGCGCAACTGCTATTGTCGTTGGGCACGTGGGCGGCGTTATGGTGCCCAAAGGCAGTCGGTGCCCCCCCCTGGCTGTCGATGTGATCCTCAAGACTCTGGTACTCGATACATACGTGGATCCACCTAACCAACGTGAAATATGTCGGAGGCACGATCATCTGCATAATGTTGGCTGGTGACCGCAGTTCAGAACGATCAGCGTGGCTCCGCGCGAGGTAATGAAGGAGCTTTTTCGTGTGCCCTAGATCCCACGGACATTGTGTTTGACCACCCGGACGACGGCGGGCAGACAAGGATAATAGTCTTAGACCCTTCCACCCCTTCACAGGGCGAATCGGCCCAACAAGGCAAACTATTGCACAAAAACGTGAACATGTTCTCTCGAAGTTCGACATTGAGTACTCTAAAAGCAGAGCCCGCCGGGCAAAGTCAAAAAGGTATGTAGGGTTTCCGGATGAACAAAAATACGTCGAATTTCCGGATGAACGAAAAGTACCCCCCGGTTACTCCGACGCCACTTGGAACGGTCGGTGGTGCGCTACATTGTCTGAGTTGTTGGACAGGGGGGGATAGACCATTGTACACGAGCTCGAGCCTGTTGCGCTGTTGGGTTGCTACAATGTTCTTGTGCTTGGACCACCTCATATTCTTCAGCGACACACCAGTGCACAAGTCCCGTCAAGCACCGGGATCTTCATTTCTAATGACTCCCTCCTGTCACAACCGACCGTTCTCCCTGCTTCGGCAATCTGGCTTGAAACGCTTTGGAAGCAGATGGATGCCACGCCCCTCAAAGAGGCGCTCGACTTGATCGCAATGGAGACCAGCGGCAGCAGGCGTGTCACTAAGAAGGCCCTTCTCGAATCTATCGGCTACGGGGTGAGCGAGTGTCCTTCACACCGCCGCCCTTGTAACATCACAAGCTCTGAGAAAACCCGCAGGTTGAGTGCTCTATTAAGGCAGTGCTCCCTGTGCCCGGCCGTGCGCATACGAAACGGACCAGCGATGAAGGATAAATTTGACTTCAAGAGCAAAAAATAATACCGAAAATAAACATCATAGACTAGTTCCCACAAAATACTTACATGTGCTTGTGTGTTGTTGTTGTTGTTGTTGTTTTCGTCCTATGTATTATGGCGACAGTCCCCCCATTTTATGTGGTGAGATGTGTACTACACGTGTTTCAGTGTACGTGAAGTTCTACACTTTTCAGTGTATTTTTCCGTAAAACTACAACCATCCAGGGTCACGCACCTCGCGTTCATCCGGCTTGGGCTGTATTGACGAAGGAGAGTCTCTTGCTATCGACGAATCTTATTATGGTACAAGCCTTACCTTTCGGACTATAGTGCTTCAACGTGCCTACACTCCATTGCTGACTGCCGCCGTTCCTGTCAAAACCGCCTCCTCCGTACAAACAGGTCATGGACCCTTTGGCATACCAAACGTTCGAGAACTCTCCGTTGCCGCCAAAGCTGAGACCGACCACCCACGTCAGAATCGCCGACGGCATACACACCTTCGGGCAAGAGTTCCTGGGAGTTCCGCCGGAAGAGGGCGTGTCTTCGTATGCCGAGTACGCCGTGGTGGGTCCGCCAACCTCCGAAACTGCCGCTCACAGCAGCGGCGACGACGGTAACGCCCATGCTGCTGTGGGAGGGTCGCAGATGTTTAAGCTCCAGCCTAAGCTTCCCGGCCTCGGCATGAGGATGACGATGCTGCGGCTAAGAAGTGGCGAGGTGAGGNGGGGGGGGGGGGGGGGGGGGCTCGCGGCGGCGTGCACGCGGGGAGGGGGGGGCTACGCTGCTTTGGGGGGCACTGCAGTTGATTGGGTCATGTAGATGCCTTTGGGTGACATGCGAGTGGCGGTGTTCGTCAATGCTGCGGTCTGCGGGCGTTTGCTGTTTTTTGCACAGATAGACCGAGCTAGATCGATAACGACGAGTGTAAGCTCAAATGCCAGGAGGCCCGCCTTAAAGTGCACCGACAACGATGACCTGTTCCACGTGATGAACGCATAAATACACGGGTGGACTACATATTCACGACGCTATCTTGAATCATATCGTGCTACCCCCGTAGACGAGCTCTGTTCATGATCTGGACCGTCGGCGACAAGGTAGGCGAGTTTTCCCGGTGTCAACCTCCCTCATCGACTTAATTTTAGGGGGGGGCACGTACTTATGCAGACTTTCGGAGTCAAACCCACGAACCACGCCCCCCCNCGCCCCCCCCGCTGATGCCCCCCCTCCCGCCCTTACCTTTCCGCCATGAACACGTGTTATCAGCTCCTCGCTCACTCTCCGGTGGCACCCACTGTCGAGCTCTTGGACATGCTGAGGGATTGTTTCCCAGCCGTCGGACCGACAACCAAGGTGCCTCGCTGCTGTGACCCTCATTGTCCGTTTTGTTTTTGAGTTTCTCTTTCCATTGTTCCATTCCACCAATGGCGTGAAGTGTGTCAAAGTGGACATGGGCATCAATTGGGTCTTGAATCCTACCGCCTGAAAGGAAGGCGTCTTCATGAAGAGCATAGGCAGAGCAGGGATGGGCAGCAAAAGGTCAAGGTGCTGTGGGAAAAAGTATTGCGTGCGATCGATCATTTTGTATGCTCGGGTGGTGCAAATCAGTCAAGATACTGTCAACGCCGCAAAACGGGGGACTTGTGAAAGGTCTCGTTGAGAGTGCTCCTTGCAGCATATGTTTGCCGGGTTTCGCATCGTTGTGAAGCAATCGATCATACTAAGCAATCGCACACCTGTGCATTCACTCGCCGCATGCTTATGGTTCGCGACACCCAAGGAACCACAGGTAGCAGCATTTGCCCGCTCCTCTTAGATGCTCGATCGGAAGCCACCCGACTTATCCCACCCAAGAAATTTTAGCCACCTTTGGCAGCGTAGGAAGGAACGGTTGGCCATCGGTGATCGGTCCTGTGGGAACAATGCTCCGTCTTCTCGAGGTCCTACGGGAACAATGCCAACGGTCTAACAGCAAAGACATGCAAAACATGAGTATCTCCCCCACCCTCCCCCACCGGTCAAACGACTACGACATTCACGACAATAAGTGCACTTCCCCCCCCCTCACCACACCGCGGCTAAGGTGCACCTCTTCAGTGCATCGGTGTCCCCTGAGCACTGGGCGTTCCTGAAGCACTGGAAGGCCATTTTTCCTGCGGCAGAGGTGTGGGCTGTTCCCGGACCCCACCGGCGCCTCATGGGCGTGGAGGCGAGTATGGGATTGTGTGGCGTGTCGGCTCGAAGCATGTTTGTTCGTTCGTTGGTTAAATATGTTTGTCCTCGAAATCGTAGCGGGAAGGTGCTCAGAGAGTAGACATACGTCCGGCGTGTGCCAATACATCCGGCGTCTGCTAAGGGCTTCGGGACGTGATAAACGCGAACAAGTTTTCTTCCGCGAGGGCTTGCTTTTTGCAAAATAAACTGCAGGAGTACGATGTAGAACAACATTGGAAGGAAGCTGAGGGTGACACATCGCAAAAACAGGCGATTCGGTTTACACGCCTGGGGGCATTAGGTCTCGACAAGGCGGAACACGATAGCCTAGGTGTGCTGCCCAACAGGAGGACCTTCATTCAACGGATGAAGGGACGCGTGATTCGACAAATTTGTGGAGTTCCGCTTCAGTTGCATGACTCACGGATGGGTAGGAAAAAGACCACGGCTGTAGCCACTAGGAAGCTCTTGTTTCCCTTCTACTACAATGTCTCCCAGCACCTAATTCATCCCGCTCGCGTTGTCGGCGCCCTTTTCTGCGAAGCACAGGTGGACCACGATATCGAGCAGATTTGCGGGGTGCCAGAGCGGCTGGGCGGAGAAGTGGAGGTTGCCGTTTTGGAGGGCGTTCCCATGGTCAGGGAGGCGTTGCTGCTGCACCGGCCGACGGGGACCGTGTTGTCGGCTGACCTCTTGCTGGCCATGGATCAGAGCGCTATCGCCGTGAGTTCGGGTGCAACCACAGCAGTACCCTCGTTCGCGAAAATTTTGGGTCTTCGCGCTTAGTTTCTTCCCAGCAGGGTTAGGGTTAGGGTGGGAACGTCACTCCGTGGCAATCCTTAGGATGTTACCACCAGCCTCTTCACGATTCAGCAACCGTCTGTACATGCTCACGTGTTTTCTCTTCTTTGTTCTCGCATCGATTCACCGGCCTCCCGGCCGACGGTTTGGGGCTGCGTGTCTTGCTGATAGGCACAAGACGCTGCCGCTGGTGCTGAAGGACAGCGACCCGAATCCACTTCTTCTGCTACGGCGTCCTCTCCTCCTGGCAAATCTCCGACTTCTTCAAGCCTCAAGGTGGGCTCCTGAGTACCGTAGACTACACGAGATACTTCTTCCTTGGAACGGTGTACAAAGCTCGGCTGCTCCACAGCAGAAGATAGTGGCCGCGCCGAAATTGGCGGCCTTGAAACGTCGAAAGCTTTCTGAACATTTGTCAGTTGACTTTAGCACGGGCTTCGTCGTGGAGCAATAGAGCTTTGGACAGGGGATATGGTATCGCAAACAACAGAAATACTACAACAACATACATAGGGTGGGTCTCTACATGAAGTAGGCCTCCATACCAGAAGCAGTAGAAGTTCTCGACGGAACCGGTTTTTTTTTTTATGTCGGATCGTGCTTTCTTCCGTTCTCTGATGGACCACGCACCCACAGCTCCATGAAATATACTCCCCCGAGCGCCTAAAAGAAACTCTGTTAACGCCCGGCAATTGATTCTCCCGAACCAACAGCCCAAGAGGTTCGGAGAGCACACCGGTAGCTTGGCGGAGGTGGAGACAACACTGGACCCGGGCGTGGCGGCGAAGGGAGGGGGAGGCAGGTGGCGCCGCCTCCGTTGGGGGATCCTGGACAAGACCGCCTCCTTGCTCGACATGAACACCCTCGCCGTGTTCGCCCCGGTCAAGACCCTACTGCACGCCTTCAAGGGGAACAGGTGACGGCAGTTCACTTCTTTCTTTTGTTCTTTGTTTATCTCTTTCTCTCTCGTCCTCCCTCTCTCGCTCTCCCTCTCTCCCTCTCTCCCTCTCTCCCTCTCTCCCGCTCTCCCTCTCCCCCTCTCCCTCCCTCCCTCCCCCTCTCAAGTGCTCCTCGCGTAAAAAGCTGAGCTTATCGTCGCAGACGGAAAAAAAGGGACGCTCATCGTGTAACGGTAAGCATACAACTCGCGTATGCCCCCACCCCCCCGGACAAACAAGCATCCCTCAAGCACCCATTCATCGAAACGGTAAGGGCTTCCGTCCCCACGCGCGAGATATCATGCCGGGTAATCGTAGAATCAACACTTCGCACCGCCACCCGTCGTTCCGATGGATGCTGCATAAGTAACCTTTCAAGGCCTCTTCCACCCACACCAACATGTGCTTTTCCTGGGATTCTTCGAGACGCTTTCCGGCGTCATTTCTTCTTGACAACAACAACAACATCGCTTTTCCCGTGGGTTTTTCCGCAAATTTGTCCGGCGATACTGTATGTCTTATCCCACCAGCGGCGCTTTCTCTTCTCGGGTGTTGAGCTGGGACACCAAGGTGCTGGTCGCCTGCCACGGTCAGTCGCCGCTGGAGGGGCCCGAGCTGAAACGGATGCTCCACGCTGCCCTCGGAAGGTACAGCCGTCCCTCAGTTAAGGACACCATCATTAAGGACACTCCCCGGGTTGAGGACTCGTTATTTTTCAAGATGTACCAAGTATGAGGAGGAGGTATAAATAGTAAGGACACTTCTTTGGCATGAGAAAAGCTGTTTTACCCAAAAATCATGTGTGTGCTTCACCGAGGGAGAGGGACGGCCATATAATCCTGGCAGATGCCGACATGTAGACGGATCTGGGCAGGCAGACGGCTCTCTGTGTACTTGCTCGCACGCAGATACGATAGTGCTGGTGTATTTTCCTGCCTTCCCTTGGGAGGAGGGCGGGGGGCGGGGGGCGGGGGGCGTACTCTTATGTTTTGCATGCCTTAGCGGTTAGACCATCGACCACGCGTCCTCGAGAGGACGGAGCATTGTTCCCACAGGACCGATCACCGATGGCCAATCGTTCCTTTCTACTTTGCCAAAGGTGGCTCAAAAATGTCTTCACTAGTCTGTCTATCCTAACGATATCCCTTCCCGCCTTTTCAATTCACCTCCTATGCCCCAGTACAGCTACCGTCCTTTCCTCTCTATTCCATGCCTCAAACAT